AATCAATCTAAAAACCTTCTAAAAAGCAAACAAGTCTAAATAATAAAATACAACCCAATAAGTATTCAATAATTTAAAACCCAACTTATAATTTCATGGGAATCACAAACACTTCTTTCTACAATTCACACAGGATAAAATATCTAACTAACACAACCTACACTATGAAAAAATCAAATACTGAGCACTAGTGGAATATAAGTAAATTACGGCCTAACACAACATGGATGCTATGAGCCGTGAGCTCTCTCTGGATGTCTTGTGCGCTCCGTTTCTGGAAAATTTCTCCTTTTTATATTACCCTTGTGTCACACCTCCCACGAGTATTTTCATCAATTTTAGAATTGTAGACTTGATTTCGCACTATAACACTGACATTAAATGTTGACTCATTTCGCTTTCAGAGCTCATATGCAAGTTCAAAACTACATCGGAGTTCAGCGAAAATGAAATATTATGTGATTGTCCAAACCCCTGTAGGTATGTGTCTGGTACAGTAATACAGATCTAAACGATCTACCTGGTTACTATATGCCTCTCTTAGAAACACACACACACATATTCATTATATATATATATATATATATATATATATATATATATATATATATATATATATATATATATATATATATATATACATATACATATATATATGGAGAGAGAGAGAGAGAGAGAGAGAGAGAGAGAGAGAGAGAGAGAGAGAGAGCGAAAAAGAGAGATACAAACTTAAACATAACTCATTCCAACTGATGGTATCATTCTATCCAGCGAGACGGCCAACAGTAGAAGTTCGGCGTTTCTCCAATGGCCCAGTGAAGATGATATTGTAAGTGTCAACTATATGGTGGGGAGTGGGGAGTCAAACTACAATAATTGATAACATATGACGACTGTGCGGAGGTCATAAATATTATATCCGTGGCGAGATGGCAACATGGGCACTCATGGGTTTACAAATCTGGCTGCGTTCATCTGGTGTATCTCTTAACAATAGTTGTGTCTCCACACTACTAACTTAATGAACTATTTATTGTTAACTTTGTGAACCATTTATTGTTAACTTTGTGATCCATTTATTGTAAAATTTGTGAAACCATCTATTGTTAACTTTGTGAACCATTTATTGTTAACTTTGTGAAACCATCTATTGTTAACTTTGTAAAAACCTTATACAATTAACTTTTTGTCCAGTCTGTTGTTAACATTGTAAAACCCACTATCGTTAACTTTGTGAAACCGTCTTTGCTTACAGCAGGAACTCCTCCATGGCTATATGAGTACAGTGACCGACCAAGATTACTACATTAAAGTCTACAGTATACCTTTTGCCAACTTGACGTAAGTCATATAGTAAAACTGCACTGTATTCCATTCTATTATTGGATACATTTTTAAAACATAAAACTGAATGTTTATCCTGTATCTTAAAAACTAAGACTACTCTAAAACTCGCACGTACACTAGACAAAACATTTTTAATTTTCTGTTTCCGGCAGAAACTACTTCATTAAACTTGTCATCTACTATGATGATTTGAACTATGAAATAATTACTGAAGTACCAGAGTATGAGGTAGGTTTTTAATCTTTTATAATATACGAGTCGGTGTCCCGCATGGTAGGGCGACGTAGATAATTTATATATATATATATATATATATATATATATATATATATATATATATATATATATATATATATATATATATATATATATAAGTATTTATATTAGCCTCTTTCATCTCTTTTCGACTACCTATGCTAGTGCATTTAGCATACAATTTCACGTATCAAAAAATATACATAATATATTTTCTATTATGGTTTTAAACTTCTCTGAACCTAACATAAGTATATAGCATTGTTTAGAATTACTATTCTGGGTAAACTTACTATTAAAAAAAGTGATGTAGCTCTATTTACTGGTCCTTACACAATATAATTAGGGGTAAAGGTCATATGAGGTAAGTTATTCTTGTAAATCGCGACTTGCATGTATATAAACGCGATCTACTTCCATTCTGACCTTACCCTTCTTGCAGCTGTTCCAGCTCCTGTCAGATGTTGGTGGTACCATAGGTCTGTGGATTGGTCTCTCATTACTCAGCCTGTTCGAGGTGCTACAGCTGCTGGCCGAGGTTGTGATGTTTACAGTTACTCACACTTTCAACTTGTAATTTGTACAGTTACTCACACTTTCAACTTGTAATGTGTACAGTTACTCACACATTCAACTCGTAATTTGTACAGTTACTCACACTTTCAACTCGTAATTTGTACAGTTACTCACACTTTCAACTCGTAATTTGTACAGTTACTCACACTTTCAACTCGTAATTTGTACAGTTACTCACACTTTCAACTTGTAATTTGTACAGTTACTCACACTTTCAACTCGTAATTTGTACAGTTACTCACACTTTCAACTCGTAATTTGTACAGTTACTCACACTTTCAACTCGTAATTTGTACAGTTACTCACACTTTCAACTTGTAATTTGTACAGTTACTCACACTTTCAACTTGTAATTTGTACAGTTACTCACACTTTCAACTCGTAATTTGTACAGTTAATCACACTTTCAACTCGTAATTTGTACAGTTACTCACACTTTCAACTCGTAATTTGTACAGTTACTCACACTTTCAACTCGTAATTTGTACAGTTACTCACACTTTCAACTCGTAATTTGTACAGTTACTCACACTTTCAACTCGTAATTTGTACAGTTACTCACACTTTCAACTCGTAATTTGTACAGTTACTCACACTTTCAACTCGTAATTTGTACAGTTACTCACACTTTCAACTCGTAATTTGTACAGTTACTCACACTTTCAACTCGTAATTTGTACAGTTACTCACACTTTCAACTTGTAATTTGTACAACTACTCACACTTTCAACTTGTAATTTGTACAGTTACTCACACTTTCAACTTGTAATTTGTACAGTTACTCACACTTTTAACTTGTAATTTGTACAGTTACTCACACTTTCAACTCGTAATTTGTACAGTTACTCACACTTTCAACTCGTAATTTGTACAGTTACTCACACTTTCAACTCGTAATTTGTACAGTTACTCACACTTTCAACTCGTAATTTGTACAGTTACTCACACTTTCAACTCGTAATTTGTACAGTTACTCACACTTTCAACTCGTAATTTGTACGGTTACTCACACTTTCAACTCGTAATTTGTACAGTTACTCACACTTTCAACTCGTAATTTGTACAGTTACGCACACTTTCAACTCGTAATTTGTACAGTTACTCACACTTTCAACTCGTAATTTGTACAGTTACTCACACTTTCAACTCGTAATTTGTACAATTACTCACACTTTCAACTTGTAATTTGTACAATTACTCACACTTTCAACTTGTAATTTGTACAATTACTCACACTTTCAACTTGTAACCTTTGAGCTCACCAAACATGTTTTTGTTAATCATTTGGCTAATTTATATTTTTCCAACCCAATGTATATTATTAACGGGCTGGCTATACCTGAGTTAAATACTTCGAAATCTTGTTGAAAGTATTTTTATGTTAACGATGTTGTCTTATTGTGTAAGTAGGGGCCTACTGATGAAATAAATTAAATTTCTTGTCATCTTTTATCTGTATTTTTTTAAAATTAAAAATCAAAGATGGAACTGCATCCTAGAATCATACTGTAACTAATGTTTCCTTCAGACTGATTTTCTCGGGGAGGGGGCGGGGGAATACTTGAAATTTAGGCGGGGGGGGGGGGGGGCGGAGAACAAAATTTTACGATTGGGTGGGGACTCGTCAAAAAGTATTTGTTCATAAAATTAGTTCATAGCCTCTAAATATTTAATTACTTTCATTGAGTAATTCATAGCCACTGGTTAATTAACATATAATTACATCACCTGGCTGTATGCTACTCAAAGTCTTTGATATTTGACTCCTGTGTGCATCGTCATCTGTTTGCATACATGAGAGAATCGCCACCTAGTGATGGGTACAAATATCGAGATTATAGATTGATTGTTGCAGTTTTCGTTGCAGTTAGAAAACGGCGTGCGCTGTTTATATACCATTATTTTGCTAAACATGATAGTTCTTCTAGACTATTTAAAGAAATCTACTTTCAATTTTAATTTGATGCTTACTAAAGGTATCAAAAATCAGTTACTTCATGTCTGTTTACAATCAGTTTAATTACCCACAGTGCAGTGTAGGCGGAGATGTCTAACACTGAAACGTCACGGTACGGGGAATAGCGAGCTAAAATACAGCTCATACTATTGATAGTTGGATTAGTCAACTCAGCATTCTAAAATATTCTTCAGCATTAAAAGCTTTATTTTTATTTAAGTTACGATCCTCTTTCATTACTACGAGTTTTTGTGATCATTATGTCTAACTTGCACACCACCGTCCCCCCCCCCCCCCCCCCACGCACACACTGTTTCGGGGGGGGGGGGCGGACACTGTTAAAAGTATATATTTTCTATATAAATTTCATTTCGTTCGGGGGGGGGGGGAGCACCTGTAAGAAACTCTGCACGCACACTAACATGACCTTCCCTCCCACAAACACGCACATACACGAAAAAAATAAACCTGCGTAGTCAAATCGTTTAAGCCTAGAATCTTTGTTGCTAAAGTTAACACCAGTTCATTTGTTACTGCTACTCAGTTCATGGACGACACTTTACTACGTTTGAAAACTGTTGGGCACACAGCGACATAAAGCCAGTTTGTTGGTGACGTACAAAAGGTGGACAAGCCTACGGTTCCCTTAAGGTCCAAGCCCCCCCCCACCCCCCAGCTATTTAAGTAAAAAAAATCTAGCCATTGAAAAAACTCGCTCTTTGTAAATTATTCTTGTAATTACCTGATAAAAAAAAGATGTGTGATCTGACCCATACATGTAAAACAAAAATCTTAAAGAACCTAACAAGCTGCATTAAGTGGACTGATGATTAAATTTAAAAAAAAAACTACGACCAGTTCAAATGAAACCTGTCACGCCGTATGGTGTTACTTGAACAGAAACATGAAATTATTTGTTTCAATCTTTTTGTGGATAATTCAATTCAATGTTTCAATAGTATTATTCTAGTTTTGGCATCCTTATGCCCATGATACCCAGTTCTCGTTTTTTAAATCTTTCACAACAACAGATCGAGTGAACAGAAAACACAAATAATGAGAGACATTTTACATTATACATTGCCAACACATTGAAAGCACATAGTCAAACACCTATTTCTTTCAAAAAGGTTTAATAATTATTAGAAACATTGACAAGTCAAACATATATTATTCTACATAGGTGAGCTATTAATTTTATTTTACTGCTACTCTTTATATTTCAAATTTACAAGCTATCATGGCCTCAGACAAAAAGAAATTATCGACACACATCACTAGAACAGGATAGAACAAAACAGTCCTGTAGAGAAAGGGATAACATCTATGTATACGTTTTTCTGTATCCTCCTAACCCTAACGCTTGTGCGTGGAAATTAGAATGCAAATTAATTTTTTTTAATTAAAAAAAATTAAGGTAGAATTGATTAATTATTAGAACATTAAAATATATTGAACATTGAAATATATTGAACATTGAAATATATTGAACATTGAAATATATTGAACATTGAAATATATTGAACATTGAAATATATTGAACATTGAAATATATTGAACATTGAAATATATTGAACATTGAAATATATTGAACATTGAAATATATTGAACATTGAAATATATTGAACATTGAAATATATTGAACATTGAAATATATTGAACATTGAAATATATTGAACATTGAAATATATTGAACATTGAAATATATTGAACATTGAAATATATTGAACATTGAAATATATTGAACATTGAAATATATTGAACATTGAAATATATTGAACATTGAAATACATTGAATATTGAAATACATTGAATATTGAAATATATTGAACATTAAAATAAATTGAACATTGAAATAAATTGAACATTGAAATATATTGTACATTGAAATATATTGAACATTGAAATATATTGAACATTGAAATATATTGAACATTGAAATATATTGAACATTGAAATATATTGAACATTGAAATATATCGAACATTGAAATATATCGAACATTGAAATACATTGGACATTGAAATACATTGGATATTGAAATACATTGGACATTGAAATACATTGGACATTGAAATACATTGGACATTGAAATATATTGAACATTGAAATATATTGAACATTGAAATATATTGAACATGGAAATATATTGATCATGGAAATATATTGAACATTAAAATAAATTGAACATTGTATATTGAGTACCATGCGATGAGCACCTAGCACAAAATGTGGACAGACACACACATGGGGTTGGTCAAAATGTTGATTGGTGAAATCTTGAATGCTAACTTACATCTATGAAGCGATGAACTAATTAATTAAAATCTAAAGATATGTTCAACTTTTATAATATTGTTTGGTTAAACATGATTAACTGAAGTCATAGCTGACTAAATGATGTGACAATTTAGTTATTAGAATTGTATTTCTAATTGGAAGTAATACAATAAGCGTTATAGAAACAGGTTTACATTACATTTAAGTGTCTTGACAAACAACCTTATTAGAATTGTATTCACAATTTGAAGTAAAACAATAATCAATAGAAAAAGGTATATATTACATCTGAGAGTCTTGACAAATTATCATGTTATTAGAAATGAATTCCTTATTTGAAGTAAAACAATAGTTATTAAAACAGATATACATAATATCCAAGTGCTTTGACTATTGAATTGTATTCCTAATTTGAAGTAAAACAATACATATAATAGACACAGGTGTACAAAATAATCTGTACTTGTTCAGACACAAAGGCTGGCGGAATGAAACAGATCAATATGACTAAATATCTTGTCATTACTGTACTGTTATGCGTATACAGTACTCGGTCTTGGGCCACTTTGTCAACTTGGTTGTGTACATCTTGGGCCACTGTGTCAATTTGGTGTGTACATCTTGGGCCACTGTGTCAACTTGGTGTGTACATCTTGCTTGTTTTGATGCCTAGTTGACTGGCTGTATGATTCTATTCAGGCTGGCTGCTTGTTTTGATGCCTAGTTGACTGGCTGTATGATTCTATTCTGGCTGGCTGCTTGTTTTGATGCCTAGTTGACTGGCTGTATGATTCTATTCTGGCTGGCTGCTTGTTTTGCTGCCTAGTTGACTGGCTGTATGATTCTATACTGGCTGGCTGGCTTTGCTTCTGATTAACGTGGCTTGTGTGATTCATGTTAGATTGTTGACAGCATCGGGTTGTTCTTGGTAGGTTGTCAACTAGAGTGTTTTCTTCCCTGGGTTGTCCTATACGGGTTGGACTGCGGCAAGAATTATCTCATCTGGTTGTTTGTTGACTCCTGGGCTGGTTGGCTGCTGGGCTGGTTGGCTCCTGGGCTGGTTGGCTCCTGGGCTGGTTGGCTCCTGGGTGGGTTGTCTCCTGGGCTGGTTGGCTCCTGGGCTGGTTGGCTCCTGGGCTGGTTGGCTCCTGGGCTGGTTGGCTCCTGGGCTGGTTGGCTCCTGGGCTGGTTGGCTCCTGGGCTGGTTGGCTCCTGGGTGGGTTGTCTCATGGGTCGGTTGGCTCCTGGGTTGGTTGGCTCATGGGTCGGTTGCTCCGTGGTTGGCTCCTTGGCTGGTTGGCTCCTTGGCTGGTTGGCTCCTGGGCTGCTTTCTCCGTGGTTCGCTCCTGGGCTGGTTGGTTCCTTGGCTGGTTGGCTCCTGGGCTGCTTGCTCCGTGGTTGGCTCCTGGGCTGGTTGGCTCCTGGGCTGCTTGCTCCGTGGTTGGCTCCTGGGCTGGTTGGCTCCTGGGCTGCTTGCTCCGTAGTTGGCTCCTGGGCTGGTTGGCTCCTTGGCTGGTTGCTCCGTGGTTGGCTCCTGGGCTGGTTGGCTCCTGGGCTGCTTGCTCCGTGGTTGGCTCCTGGGCTGGTTGGCTCCTTGGCTGGTTGGCTTCTGGGCTGGTTGGCTCCTGGGCTGGTTGGCTCCTGGGCTGCTTGCTCCGTGGTTGGCTCCTGGGCTGGTTGGCTCCTGGGCTGCTTGCTCCGTGGTTGGCTCCTGGGCTGGTCGGCTCCTGGTTCTGCTCGTCCCGTGGTTGGCTGCTGGGCTGGTTGGCTCCTGGGCTGGTTGGCTCCTGGCTGGTCGGCTCCTGGTTCTGCTCGTCCCGTGGTTGGCTGCTGGGCTGGTTGGCTCCTGGACAGCTTGCTCCGTGGTTGGCTCTTGGGCTGGTTAGCTCCTGGACTGCTTGGCTCCAGGGTTGCTCGTCTGTGGGCTGCTCTTAGAGTCGTCAGCTTAGGGGCTTGATGCTGGATAACATCTGGCTAATGGTTGTTCGTTGGTCCGTTGAGTTAGTGGTGTTCGGTTGGTTTTTGTCCGTTGGTTGTTTGTCTGTTAGTGGGTTAGTTGTCGTTCGTTTGTCAGTTGTCGGTTAGTGGTGTTAATTATGTTCGTTGGTTGTTTTTGTCCGTTGGTTGGTTGGTTGTCTGTTGGTTGGTTGTCTGTTAGTTGGTTAGTTGTCGTTCGTATGTCCGTTGTCGGTTAGTGGTGTTAGTTAGGTTCGTTGGTTGGTTTTTGTCCGTTTGTTGGTTGTCTGTTAGTGGGTTAGTTGTCGTTCGTTTGTCCGTTGTCAATTAATGGTGTTACTAAGGTTCGTTGGTTGGTTTTTGTCCGTTGGTTGGTTGTCTTTTAGTGGGTTAGTTGTCGTTCGTTTGTCCGTTGTCAATTAGTGGTGTTAGTTAGGTTCGTTGGTTGGTTTTTGTCAGTTGGTTGGTTTGTCTGTTAGTGGGTTAGTTGTCGTTCGTATGTCCGTTGTCGGTTAGTGGTGTTAGTTAGGTTCGTTGGTTGGTTGGTTGTCTGTTGGTAGTTTGTCTGTTAGTGGGTTAATTGTCGTTCGTTTGTCCGTTGTCGGTTAGTGGTTTTAGTTAGGTTCGTTGGTTGGTTGGTTGTCTTTTGGTTGTTTGTCTGTTAGTGGGTTAGTTGTCGTTCGTTTGTCCGCAGTCGGTTAGTGGTGTTAGTTTAGGTTTGTTGGTTGGTTGGTTGTCTGTTGGTTGGTTGTCTGTTAGTGGATTAGTTGTCGTTCGTTTGTCCGTTGTCGGTTAGTGGTTTTAGTTAGATTCGTTGGTTGGTTGGTTGTCTTTTGGTTGTTTGTCTGTTATTGGGTTAGTTGTCGTTCGTTTGTCCGTAGTCGGTTAGTGGTGTTAGTTAGGTTCGTTGGTTGGTTGGTTGTCTTTTGGTTGTTTGTCTGTTAGTGGGTTAGTTGTCGTTCGTTTGTCCGTTGTCGGTTAGTGGTTTTAGTTAGGTTCGTTGGTTGGTTGGTTGTCTTTTGGTTGTTTGTCTGTTAGTGGGTTAGTTGTCGTTCGTTTGTCCGTAGTCGTTTAGTGGTGTTAGTTAGGTTCGTTGGTTGGTTTTTGTCCGTTGGTTGGTTGTCTGTTAGTGGATTAGTTGTCGTTCGTTTGTCCGTTGTCGGTTAGTGGTGTTAGGTTCGTTGATTTGTTTTTGTCCGTTGGTTGGTTGGTTGGTTGTCTGTTGGTTGGTTGTCTGTTAGTTGTCGTTCGTTTGTCCGTTGTCGGTTAGTGGTGTTAGGTTCGATGGTTGGTTTTTGTCAGTTGGTCGGTTGTCTGTTAGTGGGTTAGTTGTCGTTCGTTTGTCCGTTGTCGGTTAGTGGTTTTAGTTAGGTTCGTTGGTTGGTTGGTTGTCTTTTGTTTGTTTGTCTGTTAGTTGGTTAGTTGTCGTTCGTTTGTCCGTTGTCGGTTAGTGGTGTTAGTTAGGTTCGTTGATTGGTTTTTGTCCGTTGGTTGGTTGTCTGTTAGTTGGTTAGTTGTCGTTCGTTTGTCCGTTGTCGGTTAGTGGTGTTAGGTTCGTTGGTTGGTTGGTTGTCTGTTGGATGGTTGTCTGCTAGTTTGTAAGTTGTCGTTCGTTTGTCTGTTGTCGAATAGAGCTAGTTGGCTTGCCCTGATGTCTTTCTGGCTATTTGGCTTGCTGATGACTTGAGAGCTAGTTGGCTTGCTGCTGATGACTTGAGATATAAATGTCTTGCTGATGATGAATTCAATGCTAGTTGACTTGCTGATTATAACTTGAGGGCTAAATGGCTTGCTGCTTATGACTTGAAGGCTAGTTTTCTTGCTGATTTTGACTTGAGGGCTAAATATCTTGCTTGCGATGGACTAGTTTAGGGTTAGTTGGCTTGCTGCTGATGAATTAAAGGCTAGTTAGCTTGCTGATTATAACTTGACGGCTAAATGGCTGGCTGTTGGTGACTTGAAGACTAGTTGGCTGGCTGTAGATGACTTGAGGGCTAGTTGGCTGGCTGTAGATGATTTTAAATCTAGTTGGCTAGCTGATTAAGACTTAAGGGTAAATTGACTTGCTACTGATGACTAGAGGGCTAAATGGCTTTTTGCTGATTACTTAAAGGCTTTTTGGCTTGTTACTAATGAATCTACGGCTAGTTGTCTAGCTACTGATGACTTCAGGGCTAGTTGGCTGGCTGTAGATGACTTGAGGGCTAGTTAGCAGGCTTTAGACGACTGACGGCTATTTGGCTTGCTGCTGATGACGTGAAGGCTAGTTCGCTTGCTACTGATGATTTGAGGGCAAGTTGGCTTGCTTCTGATGACTTGAGGGTTAGATGGCTTGCTGCTGATGACGTAAGGGCTAATTAGCTTGCTACTGATGAGTTGAAGGCTAGTATGCTTGCTTCTGATGACTTGACGGCTTGTGGCTTATTGTTAATGACTTTACGGATAGGTGACTTGTTGCTGATGACATAAGGGCTAGTTGGCTAACTGCTGATGACTAGAGGGCTAGTTAGCTTGCTGTTGATGACTGACGACTAATTTGCCTGCTGCTGATAATTTGATGGCTACTCGGCTTGATGTTGATGACTTGATGGCTACTTGGCTTGATGTTGATGACTTTAAGGCTAGTTGGCGTGCTACTGATGTCTTGAGTGCTTGTTGGCTTGCTGTAGATGCCTGATGGCTAGTTAGCTTGCTCCTGATGACTTTAAGGCTAGTTGTCGTGCTGCTGATGACGTAGGGGCTAGTTCGCTTGCTACTAATAAATAGATGATTAATTAGCTTAAAACAAATGTTGTATTTTTTTCACTTGCCACATGTATCTTGAAAGTTGCGGACGCTGCTGATGACTTGACAGCAAGTTGACTTGCTTCTGATGACTTGATGGCTTGTTAACTTGCTTCTGATGACTTCATGGCTAGATGGCTTGCTACTGTTAACCATACGGTAAGTTGGCTTGCTACTTGTGACTTGACAACTACGGGCTTGCTACTAATAAATAGAATATTAATTAGCTTAATACAAATGGTGTGAGCATTTTTTTCACTTGCCACATGTATCTTGAAAGTAGTTGATGCTGCTGATGTCTTGACGGCTATTGGCTTGCGTCTGATGACTTGACGGCTAGTGGGCTTGCTACTTGTGACTTGACAGCTATTTGGCTTGCAACTAACAAATAGAAGATTATTTAACCTAATACAAATGGCGTGGTAATTATTGGACTTGCCACATGTGTCTTGAAACTCGATGACGCTTCTGATTACTTGACGTCTAGTTGGCTTGCCTGTGATGACTTGACGGCTAGTTGGCTTGTTCTTGATGACTTGAGGGCTATTTGGCTTACTTCTGATGACTTAACGGCAGGTTGACTTGTTGCTGGATACTTGAGGGTTTGTTTTCTTGCTGCTTATTACTAACTGGTTGGTTGTCTCGCTACTAATAAACAGAAGATTAATTAGTGTAATAGAAATATTGACAGAATTATTGGACTTGCCCCGTATGACTTGACTGTTAGTTGGCTTGCTTCTGATGACTTGAGGGCTAGTTGGCTTGCTGCTGATGACTTGACAGCAAGTTGACTTGCATCTGATGACTTGATGGCTTGTTAACTTGCCTTTGATGACTTAAGGGCTAGATGGCTTGCTACTGTTAACTTGACGGTAAGTTGGCTTGCTACTTGTGACATGACAACTACGGGCTTGCTACTAATAAATAGAAGATTATTTAGCTTAATACAAATGGTGTGAGCGATTTTTTCACTTGCCACATGTATCGTGAAAGTAGCTGATGCTGCTGATGACTTGACGGCTAGTTGGCTTGCTACTTGTGACTTGACAGCTATTTGGTTTGCTACAAATAGAAGATTATTTAACATAATACAAATGGCGTGGTAATTATTGGACTTGCCTCATGTGTCTTGAAACTCGATGACGCTTCTGATGACTTTAAGGCTAGTTGGCTTGCTGCTGATGACTTGAAGGCTAGTTGGCTTGCTGCTGATGACTTGAGGGCTAGTTGGCTTGCTGCTGATGACTTGAGGGCTAGTTGGTTTGCTGCTGATGAATTAAGGGCTAGTTGGCTTGCTGCTGATGACGTGAGGGCTATTTGGCTTGCTTCTGGTGACTTTAAGGCTAGTTGGCTTGCTGGTGATGATTTGAGGGCTAGTTGGCTTGCTGCTGATGACTTGAGGGCTAGTTGGCTTGCTGCTGATGACTTGAGGGCTATTTGGCTTGCTGCTGGTGACTTTACGGCTAGTTGGCTAGATACTGATGACTTGAAGGCTAGTTGGCTTGCTGCTGATGACTTGAGGGCTAGTTGGCTTGCTGCTGATGACTTGAGGGCTAGTTGGCTTGCTGCTGATGACTTGAGGGCTAGTTGGTTTGCTGCTGATGAATTAAGGGCTAGTTGGCTTGCTGCTGATGACGTGAGGGCTATTTGGCTTGCTTCTGGTGACTTTAAGGCTAGTTGGCTTGCTGGTGATGATTTGAGGGCTAGTTGGCTTGCTGCTGATGACTTGAGGGCTAGTTGGCTTGCTGCTGATGACTTGAGGGCTATTTGGCTTGCTGCTGGTGACTTTACGGCTAGTTGGCTAGATACTGATGACTTGAAGGCTAGTTGGCTTGCTGCTGATGACTTGAAGGATAGTTGGCTTGCTGATGAATACTTGAGGGCTATTTAGCTTGCTGCTGATGACTTTAAGGCTATTGGGTTTGCTGCTGATGACATTAAGGATAGTTGGCTTGTTGCTGATGACTTTAAAGCTAGTTGGCTTGCTGATTTTGACTTGAGAGCTAAATATCTTGCTTACGATGGACTAGTTTAGGGTTAGTTGGCTTGCTGCTGATGACTTAGGGCTATTTGGCTTGCTGCTGATGACTTGAGGGCTAGTTTGCTAGCTGCTGTTGACTTGAGGGCTTTTTGGCTTGCTGCTGGTGACTTGAGAGCTAGTTGGCTTGCTGTCGATGACTTGAGAGCTAGTTGGCTTGCTGTCGATGACTTCAGGGCTTGTTGGCTTGCTGCTGATGACTTGAGGGCGAGTTGGCTTGCTGCTGATGAATTAAGGGCTAGTTGGCTTGCTGCTGATGACTTGAGGGCTAGTTGGCTTGCTGCTGATGACTTTAGGGCTAGATGGCTTGCTACTGATGACTTGAGCGCTATTTGGCTTGCTGCTGGTGACTTTAAGGCTAGTTGGCTTGCTGCTGATGACTTGAGGGTTAGTTGGCTTGCTGCTGATGACATAAGGGCTACTTGGCATGCTGCTGATGACTTGATGGCTATTTGGCTTGCTGCTGATGACTTTACGGCTAGTTGGCTTGATACTAATGACTTGAGGGTTAGGTGGCTCACTGTAGATGACTTGAGGGCTTGTTGACTGTCTGTAGATGACTGAAAGCTATTTGGCTTGCCGCTGATGACTTGAGGGCTAGTTGTCTTTCTGCTGATGACTTAAGGGCTAGTTGGCTTGTTGTAGGTGACTTTAGGGCTACTTGGCTTGCTGCTGATGACTTGAGGGCTAGTTGGCTTGCTGATAATGTTTTGAGGGCTAGTTTGCTTGCTGCTGTTGACTTGAGGGCTAGCTGGCTTGCTGCTGATGGCTTGAACGCTAATTTGCTTGTTTCTAATGACTACGGGCGAATAGGCTTGCTGCTGATGACTTTAAGGCTAGTTGGCTTGCTGCTGATGACGTGAGGGCTATTTGGCTTGCTTCTGGTGACTTTAAGGCTAGTTGGCTTGCTGGTGATGATTTGAGGGCTATTTGGCTTGCTGCTGGTGACTTTACGTCTAGTTGGCTAGATACTGATGACTTGAAGGCTAGTTTGCTTGCTGCTGATGACTTGAAGGATAGTTGGCTTGCTGATGAATACTTGAGGGCTTTTTGGCTTGCTGCGGATGACTTTAAGGCTATTTGGTTTGCTGCTGATGACATTAAGGATAGTTGGCTTGCTGCTGATGACTTTAAAGCTAGTTGGCTTGCTGATTTTGACTTGAGAGCTAAATATCTTGCTTACGATGGACTAGTTTAGGGTTAGTTGGCTTGCTGCTGATGACTTAGGGCTATTTGGATTTCTGCTGATGACTTGAGGGCTAGTTGGTTTGCTGCTAATGAATTAAGGGCTAGTTGGCTTGCTGCTGATGACGTGAGGGCTATTTGGCTTGCTTCTGGTGACTTCAAGGCTAGTTGGCTTGCTGGTGATGATTTGAGGGCTAGTTGGCTTGCTGCTGATGACTTGAGGGCTAGTTGGCTTGCTGCTGATGACTTTACGGCTAGTTGGCTAGATACTGATGACTTGAAGGCTAGTTGGCTTGCTGCTGATGACTTGAAGGATAGTTGGCTTGCTGATGAATACTTGAGGGCTATTTGGCTTGCTGCTGATGACTTTAAGGCTATTTGGTTTGCTGCTGATGACATTAAGGATAGTTGGCTTGCTGCTGATGACTTTAAAGCTAGTTGGCTTGATGATTTTGACTTGAGAGCTAAATATCTTGCTTACGATGGACTAGTTTAGGGTTAGTTGGCTTGCTGCAGATGACTCGAGGGCTAATTTACTTACTACTGATGATTTGAAGGCTAGTTTGCTTGCTTCTAATGACTTGACGACAGGTGGCTTATTGTTAATGATTTTACGGATAGGTGGCTTGTTGCTGATGACTTGAGGGCTAGTTAGCTTGCTGTTGATGACTACGGCTAATTTGCCTGCTGCTGATGATATGATGGCTACTTGGCTTGATGACTTTAAGGCTAGTTGTCGTGCTACTGATGACCTGAGGGCTAGTTGGCTTGCTGCTGATGTCTTGAAGGCTAGTTGGCTTGCTGCTGATGACTTGACAGCAAGTTGACTTGCATCTGATGACTTGATGGCTTGGTAACTTGCCTTTGATGACTTAAGGGCTAGATGGCTTGTTACTGTTAACGTGACGGTAAGTTGGCTTGCTACTTGTGACTTGACAACTATGGGCTTGCTACTAATAATAGAAGATTAATTAGCTGAATACAAATGGTGTGAGAATTTTTTTTTACTTGCCACATGTATCTTGAAAGTAGCTGACGCTTCTGATATCTTGACGGCTATTGGCTTGCGTCTGATGACTTGACGGTTAGATGGCATGTCTCTGATGACTTGACGGCTAGTTAGCTTGCTACTTGTGACTTGACAGCTATTTGGCTTGATACTAACAAATAGAAGATTATTTAACCTAATACAAATGGCGTGGTAATTATTGGACTTGCCACATGTGTCTTGAAACTCGATGACGCTTCTGATTACTTAACGTCTAGTTGGCTTGCCTGTGATGACTTGACAACTAGTTGGCTTGTTCTTGATGACTTGAGGGCTAGTTGGCTTGCCTCTGATGACCTAACGGCAGGTTGACTTGCTGCTGGAGACTTGACGGCTTGTTTTCTTGCTGCTTATTACTAAATGGTTTGTTGTCTCGCTACTGATAAACAGAAGATTTATTAGTTTAATACAAATATTGACAGAATTATTGGACTTGCCCCGTGTGACTTGACTGTTAGTAAGCTTGTTGCTGACGGCTTGACAGCTAATTGGCCTGCTACTGATGGCTTGCGGCTGATGACTTTAAGGCTAGTTGGCTTGCTGCTGATGACTTGAGGGCTAGTTGGATTGCTGCTGATGACTTGAGAGCTAGTTGGCTTGCTGCTGATGACTTTAGGGCTAGTTGGCTTGCTGCTAATGACTTTAGGGCTAGTTGGCTTGCTACTGATGACTTGAGCGCTATGTGGCTTGCTGCTGGTGACTTTAAGGCTAGTTGGCTTGCTGCTGATGACTTGAGGGTTAGTTGGCTTGCTGCTGATGACATAAGGGCTACTTGGCATGCTGCTGATGACTTGATGGCTTTTTGGCTTGCTGCTGGTGACTTTACGGCTAGTTGGCTTGATACTTATGACTTGAGGGTTAGGTGGCTCGCTGTAGATGACTTGAGGGCTTGTTGACTGTCTGTAGATGACTGACAGCTATTTGGATTGCCGCTGATGACTTGAGGGCTAGTTGGCTTTCTGCTGATGACTTAAGGGCTAGTTGGCTTGTTGAAGATGACTTTAGGGCTAGTTGGCTTGCTGCTGTTGACTTGAGGGCTAGTTGGCTTGCTGCTGATGGCTTGAAAGCTAATTTGCTTGTTTCTAATGACTTACGGGCGAATAGGCTTGCTGCTGATGACTTTAAGGCTAGTTGGATTGCTGCCGATGACTAGTTGGCTTTTTGCTGATGACTTAAGGGCTAGTTTGCTTGATGCTGATGACTTGAGGGCTATTTGGCTTGCTGCTGGTGACTTTAGAGCTAGTTGGCTTGCTGTCGATGACTTCAGGGCTTGTTGGCTTGCTGCTGATGTCTTGAGGGCTAGTTGGCTTGCTGCTGATGAATTAAGGGCTAGTTGGATTGCTGCTGATGACTTGAGGGATACTTGGCTTGCTTCTGGTAACGTTAAGGCTAGTTGGCTTGCTGCTGATGACTTAAGGGCTAGTTGGCTGGCTGCTGATGACTTGAGGGCTAGTTGGCTTGCTACTGATGACTTGAGGGCTATTTGGCTTGCTGCTGGTGACTTTACGGCTAGTTGGCTTGATACTGATGACTTGAGGGCTAGTTGGCTTGCTGATGATGACTTGAGGGCTAGTTGGCTTGCTGCTGATGACTTGAGGGCTAGTTGGCTTGCTGCTGATGACTTGAGGGCTAGTTGGCTTGCTGCTGATGACTTGAGGGCTAGTTGGCTTGCTGCTGATGACTTTAGGGCTAGTTGGCTTGCTACTGATGACTTGAGCGCTATTTGGCTTGCTGCTGTTGACTTGAGGGCTAGTTGGCTTGCTGCTGTTGACTTGAGGGCTAGTTGGCTTGCTGCTGATGGCTTGAAAGCTAATTTGCTTGTTTCTAATGACTTACGGGCGAATAGGCTTGCTGCTGATGACTTTAAGGCTAGTTGGTTTGCTGCTGATAACTTTTAGGGCTAGTTGGTTTGCTGCCGATGACTAGTTGGCTTTTTGCTGATGACTTAAGGGCTAGTTTGCTTGATGCTGATGACTTGAGGGCTATTTGGCTTGCTGCTGGTGACTTGAGAGCTAGTTGGCTTGCTGCTGATGACTTGAGGGCTAGTTGGCTTGCTACTGATGACTTGAGCGCTATTTGGCTTGCTGCTGATGACTTGAGGGCTAGTTGGCTTGCTGCTGTTGACTTGAGGGCTAGTTGGCTTGCTGCTGATGGCTTGAAAGCTAATTTGCTTGTTTCTAATGACTTACGGGCGAATAGGCTTGCTGCTGATGACTTTAAGGCTAGTTGGTTTGCTGCTGATAACTTTTAGGGCTAGTTGGTTTGCTGCCGATGACTAGTTGGCTTGCTGCTGATGAATTAAGGGCTAGTTGGCTTGCTGCTGATGGATTGAGGGCTATTTGGCTTGCTTCTGGTAACGTTAAGGCTAGTTGGCTTGCTGCTGATGACTTGAGGGCTAGTTGGCTAGCTGCTGATGACTTAAGGGCTATTTGGCTTGCTACTGATGACTTGAGGGCTAGTTGGCTAGCTGCTGATGACTTAAGGGCTATTTAGCTTGCTACTGATGACTTGAGGGCTACTTGGCTTGCTGCTGGTGACTTTACGGCTAGTTGGCTTGATACTGATGACTTGAGGGCTAGTTGGCTTGCTGTTGATGACTTGAGGGCTAGTTGGCTTGCTGCTGATGACTTGAGGGCTAAATGGCTTGCTGCTGATGACTTAAGGGCTACTTTGCTTGATGCTGATGACTTGAGGGCTATTTGGCTTGCTGCTGGTGACTTGAGAGCTATTTGGCTTGCAGTCGATGAATTCAGGGCTTGTTGGCTTGTTGCTGATGACTTAAGGGCTACTTGGCTTGCTGCTGATGACTTGAAGGCTAGTTGGCTTGCTGCTGATGACTTGAAGGCTAGTTGGCTTGCTGCTGATGACTTAGGGCTAGTTGGCTTGCTGGTGATGACTTGAGGGCTAGTTGGCTTGCTGCTGATGACTTGAGGGCTAGTTGGTTTGCTGCTGATGAATTAAGGGCTAGTAGGCTTGCTGCTGATGACGTGAGGGCTATTTGGCTTGCTTCTGGTGACTTTAAGGCTAGTTGGCTTGCTGGTGATGATTTGAGGGCTAGTTGGCTTGCTGCTGATGACTTGAGGGCTAGTTGGCTTGCTGCTGATGACTTGAGGGCTATTTGCTTGTTGGCTTGCTGCTGGTGACTTTACGGCTAGTTGGCTTGATACTGATGACTTGAAGGCTAGTTGGCTTGCTGCTGATGACTTGAAGGATAGTTGGCTTGCTGATGAATACTTGAGGGCTATTTGGCTTGCTGCTGATGAATTTAAGGCTATTTGGTTTGCTGCTGATGACTTTAAGGATAGTTGGCTTGCTGCTGATGACTTTAAAGCTAGTTGGCTTGCTGATTTTGACTTGAGAGCTAAATATCTTGCTTACGAAGGACTAGTTTAGGGTTAGTTGGCTTGCTGCAGATGACTCGAGGGCTAATTTACTTGCTACTGATGATTTGAAGGCTAGTTTGCTTGCTTCTGATGACTTGACGACAGTTGGCTTATTGTTAATGATTTTACGGATAGGTGGCTTGTTGCTGATGACTTGAGGGCTAGTTAGCTTGCTGTTGAAGACTACGGCTAATTTGCCTGCTGCTGATGATTTGATGGCTACTTGTCTTGATGACTTTAAGGCTAGTTGTCGTGCTACTGATGACTTGAGGGCTAGTTGGCTTGCTTCTGATGTCTTGAAGGCTAGTTGGCTAGCTGCTGATGACTTGACAGCAAGTTGACTTGCATCTGATGACTTGATGGCTTGGTAACTTGTCTTTGATGACTTAAGGGCTAGATGGCTTGTTACTATTAACGTGACGGTAAGTTGGCTTGCTACTTGTGACTTGACAACTACTGGCTTGCTACTAATAAATAGAAGATTAATTAGCTGAATACAAATGGTGTGAGAATTTTTTTTACTTGCCACATGTATCTTGAAAGTAGCTGACGCTTCTGATGTCTTGACGGCTATTGGCTTGCGTCTGATGACTTGACGGCTAGATGGCTTGTCTCTGATGACTTGACGGCTAGTTAGCTTGCTACTTGTGACTTGACAGCTATTTGGCTTGCTACTAACAAATAGAAGATTATTTAACCTAATACAAATGGCGTGGTAATTATTGGACTTGCCACATGTGTCTTGAAACTCGATGACGCTTCTGATTACTTGACGTCTAGTTGGCTTGCCTCTGATGACTTGACGTCTAGTTGGCTTGCCTCTGATGACTTGACGGCTAGTTGGCTTGCCTCTGATGACTTGACGGCTAGTTGGCTTGTCTCTGATGACTTGACGGCTAGGTTGCTTGCTACTTGTGATTTGACAGCTATTTGGCTTGCTACTAACAAATAGAAGATTATTTAACCTACTACAAATGGCGTGGTAATTATTGGACTTGCCACATGTGTCTTGAAACTCGATGACGCTTCTGATGACTTTAGGGCTAGTTGGCTTGTTCTTACTGCCTTGACGTCTAGTTGGCTTGCCTCTGATTACTTGGTCTAGTTGGCTTGCCTGTGATGACTTGACGGCTAGTTGGCTTGCCTCTGATGAACTAGCGGCAGGTTGACTTGCTGCTGGAGACTTGAGGGCTTGTTTTCTTGCAGCTTATTACTAAATGGTTTGTTGTCTTGCTACTGATAACAGAAGATTAATTAGTTTGATACAAATATTGACAGAATTATTTGACTTGCGCAGTGTGACTTGACTGCTAGTTGGCTTGCTGCTGACGGCTTGACAGCAAATTGGCCTGCTACTGATGACTTGAGGGCTAGTTGGCCTGCTACAGATGACTTGAGGGCTAGTTGGCTTGCTGCTGATGACTTGAGGGCTACTTGGCTTGCTGCTGATTACTTAAGGGCTACTTGGCATGCTGCTGATGACTTGATGGCTATTTGGCTTGCTGCTGGTGACTTTACGGCTAGGTGGCTTGATACTAATAACTAGAGGGTTAGGTGGCTCGCTGTAGATGACTTGAGGGCTTGTTGGCTGTCTGTAGATGACTGACAGCTATTTGGCTTGCCGCTGATGACTTGGGGGCTAGTTGGCTTTCTGCTGATGACTTA